CGCATTAGGTGGCCAAAGTATCTGAGCTTGAGCTTCAGTATCAATCCTTCCAATGAGCAATTAGGGTTGATTTCCTTTAGGATTGACTGGTTTGACCTTCTGGCAGTTCAAGGGACTCCTAAGGGTCTTCTCCGGCACCACAATTCAAAGGCATCAATTCTTCAGAGCTCAGCCTTCCTTATGGTCCAGCTCTTATAGCCATACATACGGCCTTGGGTTACTGATTGCAAAGATGATTGAGAGGGCAGTCCATGATCTGTCATAAATGTTCTATTGCGTTAGTTTTGGACGTTCTCACTCCTGTTTTAATTCCTAAAACTTCTAATTTTCCTCACAGGGGTTGGATTTTTGTGGGCTGCCACAATTACTGGCATCTTTTCAAAGGATTGTTACCTGGATGCTGGAAATGCTGGAAGATCTCCCTAAGAATGAACAGGCTGAATATCTGGATCTCTCAGGTTGGTATTCAGGGTAGGTAGCTTATATTCCCAGTTGTTGTCATCAGTAAACAGACAGACAAGTGGGGCACTGTACTGATCTTTTGGGAGCCATAATGAAGAAAAAAAAATTAAGTGTTCTCAATTAGGTTTTCCTCTTCAATCAGATGATGCCTTGATTATTGCATCACTTGGAAGAAATAGATGTTGTTCCTAATAATTACAAGAATTATTACAAGAAGTACAAGTTAGGTAACTAGGAAACATTTAGTTCTTATTCTCTCCCCCTACCTTACAATATTTTATGCCTTATAAGATACAAGCCCTTAACTCCCTACCAACTAACCTATCTTGGTACCTTAATTTTATGCCCTTGTTCCCTTGCAGGCAAATAATAGTAAGCAATCTAGATCCTTAGAGAACTGTATAAATTACTGTTGAAGATGAACAGCATCTTGAGTTGGTCAGTCAGTGACTTAGTTCATGCACAGGCTATGATTTAACAGTTAAAGGATAACCATATTCATTATACAAACAAACTGTTGTGAGAGCCAGTTCTTTGATAGTTGCAAGTAACAGTTTAATACCAGTTCAGTCTATTATCAAAACAAATGACACTTGAAAATCATCCTTCCCACCAAAAGAAAATGGCTTCGAGCCTGGTATGTCATGTGGGGGGGGTGGGGGGGAAAGAAGCACAATAATTTGAATTTGAGTTTTACTATATATAGGTCTTGGATTTAATACACAACTGTCACATCCATGATGGTTTCTTTAGCTTTTCTGCAATAAAAATACATTTTAGAAGTTCTTGTATCCCTGAATGTTTATCTGTTTCCAGTCCAGCTTGTTGGGAGAAGTCTGGTAGTGATTTATTTGTCTAGAAACTCTTTGAAAACATCTAGCTATGGCTTAGCATGATGTATGAACCTAGCCAGAAAGAACAAATGTTGTTGGTTTTCTTGCCTTGCTTCAATCAATATATTGCTTTCATGCAAACTTTATTTTCACCCAGGGATTTGGAAACAACTTCTTGTTTACTTAAAGGAGGCTTATTACAACATGCAAGTAGTTTTCTTGAGGAAATAGTTTAGCAGATCTCTAGCAAAAGTAGATTTAATATTCCTTATGGATGGCTTAAGAATGCTTTTGTTCTTCTTACAGCATATTGCGTATCCCGGTTGGCCTACAGATTTTACTCTCATAAGATGTATGTAGAATCTAACTCCATAATGGGGCAATTCTGTGGATGGCTAGTCAAAAAGGCCAAATGTACAGACTTGCCCACAGAAAAGGTAACTAAGTTTCATTAAAGCGTAATAAAGAGGCATGAAATGAGAGTGGTGGGTGGGGCACAGGAGCTGTTAAATAGGAAGACTAACTGTGTTTGAGGTAATTTTAATATGACAAAGGTCTAATTTTGTATGACAAAGGTCTCAAGCCTACTGCTTTACTAATGGAACCAGGCCCAGGTTTTTAACTTAGTGAAGGGCTTTGACAAATCACTCTTTTCTACAAAGAACCTGTAGATGTTTACTTAAAATGTAAATCACCCTCCCCACCCCCATATTCCGAACAACGTCAAATTTATTTATTTATTTATTTAGAGAATGTATGTGGCCGCCCATCTTAAATATATAACTCTGGGTGGCTAACAATTTACAAAAAATGATACAGAAAGAGCCCCATAACCATACAAAGTCAAAATAATCCACTGCAAAGGAGCAATCCGAGGCACCATATAATAAATTCACAAAGAGACGTGCACATGTTGGGCTCCCCTAACATCCCAGCCCTAATGCTTGGGGGAAAACCCAGGTTTTTACAACTTTCTGAAAGGCCAAAAGGGTTAGGGCCTTCCAAATCTCAAGGGGGAGGCTGTTTGGGAGGGCATTCACTGAATTTGTATCGTATAGACTTGTATTTGTAGTCTAAAGGTAATTCTGGGAATTTGTATTGCATCCTCTCTCTGGGGTGCTGAGATAAAATGCTTCGAGGAGGCCTCCCGATTATTTGCCAGTCATAATCAGTTTGGTTAACCATAAGCCTCTTCAATATGCTGTCAATTGCTTTCCTGGGGAATTTCTTGATCTCATTTCTCTGGACCATGCAATTTTACAAAACGACTTTCAGGGGTCTGCCATTACCTGTACCTCCCTTCACTCTTATATTTGGATTCCTCTGCCTGCCTGGATTTCAGTAATTTTACTAATGGTATCCAAAGGTCTTTTGGTCATGACCTGAATTCTCTGACATGGTTGCTTAAAGTTTAATCACTGTAAAGAGCCTGAAGCTCCTTAGGGTTCCTTAATTTTTTTTTATAGTTTTTATTGTTTTTAAATTATTTTTGTTACAATTTTGGTTATTTTATTGTATTGCTTTTGTGTTTTTAACTTTGTACGCTGCTCAGAATCATGTATGTGAGATGGGCGGCTATATAAATTGACCAAATAAATAAATAAAAATTGGGGTAACTACCTCTGCCTGACATCCCATGATTTTCATTGAGGTTTGACCCCCTAGAAGAGTTTAGTAATTTAACCAAGGCTATAATTCACAGTTGTTTGACATGTATTGCTGTATTGAAAACTGGAAGGAGCTTCTAATCTTCTGGGGGTTGAATGAGTCTCTCTTTGCCACCCTGAATGCTTATCTTTCCCTTTCCAGCTACACAACTGTTTTAAGCTGCAAGTAGAAAACTACAGGAAGCTCGGCTTACTAGAGGAGGGTCTTCAGACTGTAGTCCTCTGGCTGGCTTCTCATCACAGCAAGATCCCAGAACAGATGGTGGAGCCTGTCTGCTCCTGGGTCAAAGTCAAGATGGATGCCAATAAAAATGGGGCTGATGATTTGAGATTGAAGTAAGAAAGGAACTAAAGATTGGGTCTGCAGCTCAAAACGGGCAATACTGGAATAGTTTCTGTATTTTATTAGGAATTATTTATTTTTTGCTGTATTATTCTGTATTTGTATTAGGAATTATTTATTTTTTGCTTCCTGCCATCCTACTACTGAGGAAACTAGAGTTCATGAGGCTGGTGTTCCCCTTTCTTGCCATTTAAAGTTTTCTACTGCAGGAAGAGTCTGGGTTTTTTTAGATTGTTTATCCTGCCTTTATTATTATTATTATTATTATTATTATTATTATTATTATTATTATTTTTTATTATTATTATTATTATTATTATTTTTACAAATAACTCAAGGTGGAAAACATAGCTAATATTCCTTCCTCTTCCTATTTTTCCCACAACAACAACCTTGTGAGGTGAGTTGGGCTGAGAGAGAGGGACTGGCCTAAAGTCACCCAGCCAGCTTTCATGCCTAAGGCAGGGCTAGAACTCACAGTCTGCTGCTTTCTAGCCTGGTGCCTTAACCACTAGACCACACTGGCTCAAAAAAATACTTTGTTCCAATTATGGAAGTTGAATATCAGTCTCCCCAGAACAAAGGCAGCCTTTCTTAATTATTATCCATAAAGAACGAGAGAGTGCTCAGTCTGCTATTTTTATTCTTAGTGGTTTTCTGAACTAAATGATTCCACTGACTGCCTGGAATCCTTCAAACTTGTTTTTTTCTTGCTATTCAGCCTTATGAGTATCAAGGGTTATCACTGTCCCCTTTCTCTACTTTCAGGTACTACTTTATCTAGCTGCCAATTATTGGCAACAAATGTAGGTCTGATATGCGGAGGTTACCTTTCAAAATTGGAATGCATTGGCCATGAGCTGTGCGCAAAATGGAAAATATGTTTTCTTTTCAAATCCAGAATAAACTACAGTACTGTGTTCTGAAAGTTCAGCAGACCATTTCAGGTCGGTCAGGTTTTGGCAAAATAAACAGGAATGTTTGGTAGTTCTAGATTTCAGCCTTAAGAAAATTTAGAAGGATCCTGGAGTGATTTTACAGGTCAAGTAGGGCAAGGCTGATATGTGTTGCCCTTTCTCCCTTCAGCAGCTCCCAGTTTCCACTGGCTCAACTGCCTCCTAACCTTCCCAGCACCTTCCCTCCCTTGTTTCTCCCTCAGCTGCTGATGTTCCAGCATGGCATACCCCAGCCTTCCCAGCCCCCGGTCTTCCCAGTATCTATTCTTCCCTCCTCCCCTTTAGCTCATGCTGCCACTCTCAATGTCCCAGCACAGCATGGCCGACTGGCCTGTCCCCACAACTTTCTCAGTGCCTCCCCTGCCTCCCTTCAACTGAAAATGAAATCCCCTCCCCTTTTTTCCCACCCCAAAAGTACTTCTGCCATGAATTACAGCTTTTTGGTTCAGACTGGCAACAAAACATCCTTGTTTTGTTCTGTGTATGAACTCAAAGCATTCAATATACACATGCACAGACCACATGAAACCAATGTTCCATGTATGGAATGTTTTGTACTTGCAGAATGGGTCATCCTCCCATTTAGTCTCAGCATATCCAGTAGTATCCAGAGAATAAGAAGCCTTCTATTCATGGAAATGCTATAGGAGTGAGGAACTGGTAGCTGTGACACTTGGAGGGTCCCAGATTCCAATGTCCTTCAGTATTGGCCATGTCAGTTGAAGCAAATGTGAGCTGGCAAGATAATTTGGAAAAAATGCTATTTGCTGCCTCATCTAGCCAGATAGTTTGTTAGTGGATTGCTCTTTGATAAGGCTTTTCAAAAGTGGGCTATTCTTTCTACTTGCTGTGGGTAGAGAGCCATGGAAATGAATTCATGATTGGTCTATTTGGTGGGAGAAGAGTCCCTCCCTCTATTTTTTAGCAATAGAACATATAGAACTGATAGCCTTTTGCATCAAGAGTGCAAGGAATGGAAACATGGGCACATGTGGTCTGATACAGTGTCATATGCCTCCCTGTCACTAGATCCCCTTATTTTTCCCCCACTTTACCCATTGTTGTATTTCCAACTGAATGCTTCCTAAGATTTTCACCACTGTTTTCTTGCCTTCCCATTTCCTTTCCAGACCCTTCTTTCTTGCCGCTTTCTCCTATTGCATTCACATCCTCTCTATTTCCTTCCTTCTCCAACACTTTCCCCAAATCATCTCTATCCATTTACTTCCTTAACTTCTCTCATCTAGTCTTCCCATGTTTTCTTCTTCCTATGATTTCTTATAAGTACTGTTTTTCTTTGTATCTATAGCCACCCAGAATCATGAATGAGTCAGGCAGCCTCAACATTGGATAAATAAATGTTGCCTTTCCAATCCACACATGCTTAATCACCTGGTCATAGGCTGAAGCTTTTTTTTCTCTTCAAAAATGAATATAAGAAAGATTTGCACCATTAATAGCAGAAAGAGGTGTGACATTAGGATTATTTTCCATGTCATACCTTCTTTTGTGTCTGAATCTGTCCTTTTGAGTTTGAGTCAAACTCAATCTCTGGTGACTTCATGGACCTCTTGGCAACAGTTTAAGAGTGGTTTACAATTGTGTTCTTCAACATTTTTTCAACTTTCCAGTCTAGCCTATAACCCTATGTTTTTCTGATGGTCTCCCATCCAAATACTAATCAGGTCCAACTGTGGCTTTTCTAAGGTCCACCAAGGTTGGCTAGACACTGTCATCTGCTGTGACTATAGGGTCATTAATTTGGGGGGGAACCCTAAACCTCAAAGGTTTTATCAGTAGAAAAAGCTGATACTGAAAAGTATCAGTATTAAAGCACTCTCTTGATGAAGAAAAGTTGCATCTTAAAAATAGTCATTAAAAAAAACATCAAACAAATCAAACAAAAATAGTTTTAGAGTAAAAAGAGTGTCCCTGCCCATCTATGAAGTGAGCTCCTTAAAATGCTGCACAAAGCACAGTGTGGCTGTCTAGTTGACAGAAGCTGCATGTCTTTGCTTTACATCTTTCCTAATTTCTATTCCTGTTTGGCTTCTATATTCATTATAGGACTCTGAAAGAAGGTCTTGAAGAGTATAACTTAGAGGAGAAGGTCCTTGTGAAAGTGCTGTTGGAGGAACTGAAGGCATACAAAGCTGTGCGAGTTGACACTGGCCAAGAGCGCTTCAATGTGATCTGTGACCTCCTAGACATATGTTCAGAAGGCAGCCATTGGGTCCATGAAAGAGCTTTTATCCTGGTGGAATTGGCGCAGGTGCTATGTTATCATGATTATAGCGAGCAGACAGAATGGTGAGTGGATAATATGATTTGATGCCAGCTTTATGGTTTTCCTCAAGCATCCTACTTTGAATACCTCTCTATTGAAATGATGCCAAGTTTTAAAAAATGAACTTGAACTGGAAACTGCCAGAGCCCCATTATCCTAATTCTAGTATCCTGTTCTTGTTGTCTTCCATATCTGGTTTTGTCTTTTCACTAGTTTGAGTGTGGACTTCTAAGTGTAGAACTGGAGATGAGTTGGGAGAGTTTCAGCCTTGCTTGATAACAAGGCTCACTGGCTGATGCTACAAAACTGATGCATGTAAGGATCAGTTGCCTCTTCAAAAATGCTGATGCTAGTGCTAATAGGGTGCTGGATGCTTGCATATTTTGTTTAAGTGCTGCTGTTGCTATACTTTTTCTGACCAAAGTATTTGTTTCTCTTGTGCAAAAAAGAGAAGGATCTCGTGGATTGTTTAAACAAGGACTGGATGCACTTAGATGTAATAAACCAGAACTGATGAGCATTCTGGTTAAGCTAACTAGAAACTAACAAGCAATCTTCTGACTACATCAGTTATGAGTATATGAGAATCCAGTGCAAAAAATATTCTCAGCAATTGTGGCTAATCATGTCTGAAATTATTGTTAGTTAAATTTAAGTCTTCTCTCTTGTAGTTCTGCTCTGGACTCTATAAACGAAGCCCTGCAGTTGTTAGAATATGTGCCAAAGACTCCACAGAATGAGGAACAGCTACAGGATGATAAGGCCCAGGCTTTACTCTGGCTTTATATCTGCACAGTTGAGGACAAAATGCATGAGGTATATGACTCAAAGCAAAATAGCACAGAACTCAATCAGCTAAATTCTGGTTTGTGTGTATTCGATACTCCAGAGAGCAAGGGGACTAAAAAGCTACAGATGTCCACTGGAAGGAACGTAATCGGTCTTTTCTCAGCTTATTTTAATTAAAAATGAGAAAAGAATGCAGAAATATTTACTTTGCTATATTGCTAGTATTAAATGACAGTATAATTTAAGGTTATCCAAAAAATGTACAAATCCAGTATACAATATATAAAAGGAAACAAGGGAGAATCTTCTGGAAAATAAGTAATTATAAGAAATTATAAAGCAAACAGTTCAGTGAGATTAAACCAGATCACTTCAAAACCTGGTAACTTGGGTTGGCTGACTAGCTTTCAGACTAGTACAGTTCTCCAAGGACTTCAGCAAAGGTGTTTTACATCCATTGCTTAACCTTTCCTGACTGGAAATGCTGATTGCTATAACAAGTACATTCTGCATGCAAGGGCTATACACTGTCCCAGAGTTATTTTCCATCTCCTTTAAACACTGAACTGTTCCTATGGACTGATCAATGTAAGGACTTGTTTCCATGGCAACGGAGTCACATACAATTGTTATCTATGTGTTTGTTATAGGATGAGACGAAGCAGTTTGGTGTAGTGGTTCAGGTGCTGGCCTAGAAACCAGGAGACTGAGTTCTAGTCCTGCCTTAGGCATGATAGCTGGCTGGGTGACTTTGGGCCAGTTGCGCCCTCTCAGTCCAGCCCACCTCACACAGTTGTTGTGGGGAAAATAGGAGGCAGGACTATTAGGTATGTTTGCTGCCTTGAGTTGACCAGATATAAAGGCTGGATAAAAATATAATAATGATAACAATCACCATCACCACCAAAGGGAGACTAACTGCCGTATTGTTATTTTGTACGAATTGAAAATAGGAATTGATATACCTCAAGAGCTCATTCACAGATGGTGGAGTTTAAAACAAGATCCTTTTAGCACATAATGTAATATATCTTGCAGAATGGGCTCAGTGAAATCTCTCTCTGGTAGCTCTGAAGTTCCCTTATCCTAGTTGCTGCACAAGGGACATAGACAAATGGAGCAAAGAGACAGCAAGAACACTGTCTGGCTTATATACTAAGTATGTTATTTGACAGTAGTTGGTGGGTTTAACATTAGCTCTCCTCTTTCAAACAGAGTATCAAGCAAGAGCAGAGGACCAGAAACACCCAAGGACAAAAAGACGCAGAAGTTCTTGAGGGCTTTGAAACCAATGATCTCAGTTATGAGGATAAATCCCATGATGACAAGTTCCTGTATCTTGGCATCGCATTTAATCTATCTGCAGATTCTGGTGAGGAACTGTATGTTGCTATTGGACTGTGGACAACTGCTAAATTCAAATGATGAGATTAAAGCAAAAAGAGTAGCTAATAATTATCAAGACTGGTAGGGTTCTTCTAATTCTGTTTCCTGCTAGGAATAAGCAGTAGACATGGGTCTTATTAGTGGTGTTTTGCAGAAATAGGAGACGGACATCTTTAGAAGTTGTTATGTGCTGATAGAAATGAGGATATTCCTTTATTGCTGTTTTTAAGACATTCTTTTAAGACATTGTGTTATATTGAACTGTTTCAACATTTTAATTAGTTTAAGCTTCAACGTACAGTTTTTCATTTTAGTCTGAAAACAATCTCATAAAGGACTTAAAAACTTTGCAGTGTTTGACTTCTGGGGGAGGTATGGCAAACTGAAGATGGCTCTGCGAAAGCCAATCAGATGTTGATCTAAGGAAGTTATAAGCAGATTAAGGGTCAAGATAAATTTGGAATATTGACTTTTACTATAAGATTTTGGAATTAACTATAAAAATAAACAACTTCTCGTGGGAAACAGAGTTATTTTGGTTATCCTGGCAACTGCAATCATAACAAAAGATAAGCGATGATTTTAGAAACTAGACACAAGAGGGGACTAAAGATATTAAGCAGAAGAAAAAAAAATACAAAGCCTAATGTTGTTTAATACTGGGTCTTACAAAATGATATACAACGTTATAACATCGGAAATATTAAAGATCTTTGAAGAATGGAGCCAGAAGTTAGTAACTACAATATCAACACTGTCGGTAATGATGTCAGCTTTTATGGATAGAGTATGCCTAAAAGATGTTAAGGAAGGAATGATAGATGTGGAACAAATTTTATCTGATAAGGTAAATTATAGAATGTGGAACTACAAATGATAGGCCAAGATAATGAGTAGGAAAAGAATGCTTTACTGGATATATAAAAGAAACTAGCTGAAGTTTTAAAAATTAAAAGGAAAATACAAATGATAAACCAAGAGAATGACCTGGAAAATATTTTCTAAATGGATCTACAAAAGAGGCATGTTGAAGCCTTGAAGAAATCTGTGTGATGGGACAAAGAAGAATTGAAGAGAAAT